GACATATATCGCTGCTGCTGGGAGGCCTGGCTTCCAGAGGGGGAAGAGGAGGTGGAGGGCTGTCCGTTGGCCACAGCAGTCCGCTGCTTTGCATTGTTCCCACCACCAGGAGGAACTTGTGCAGAAACCCCGGCTGCACCAGGACTGGGGGATGAGGGGGTGACAGGGCCAGGGCTGGGGGACACTGAGCCTGGGGTGGTGAGTGGCTGGGAACAGGAGGGCTTGGCTGATTCTGGCACTGAAATACACAAATGAGAAATATGTGAACCACTGTGAGACTAAGATATGGTAACAAAATAAAGCCAGAAAAGGTTACTGAGCTGCAAGGAGGGTAACCTAGTCAATAGCCGACGGTGTAAAGGCCCTGACACACCAAGCCAATGGGCGGCTGCCTGTCAATGTTGAGCTGTCTGTAAGCATCTGACGTGGGCACCATTAGCACTTGCAAGCCCTTATCGGCTTTTTGTTGGTTGACTAAGCATGCTGAATTGTCGCCAGAGACGGTGGAGCCTGTCAGTGAATGAAGTCACTCCGACTGGCACTTAAAATCAGTTCACGAGAAGAGAAACGGAAGTGCGGAAAGCAAATAAATGACTAGAGTCAAGATGGCGTGAGATCAAAGCAAGCATATTATACTAAGTAAAATTATGTTTTTAGTCACTGAGCAGTTCATGATTGTTTGTGTTACTGTTCACTAGCCCACCATAAGTAACCTTTGTCCTTTCAACATTGGGGTGTGTTCTTAATGTGCTAACTGGCTAATTAGTATCTTAAATCTGCCCTGTTGTTGTTCCAGTTTTCCAATTTGAATGACGAATACAGACTACTGCCGCCTGCTGCTAAGGACTTATTTCCTCTTACGCAGGCATGGAACATGTGCGCTAGTTTGCCGCTGGCTGTAGTCTTTGCACTGTGTTCAGGTGCAACTTTTCGGCCAAGACACAAGCAATGTGAGGCGATGCAGCAGTCTGACTTCATTACCACTAGTTCTTTGACATCGGTTTGTTGTGCCTTCCCTTAAGAAAAGTTCAAGAAAATGTGTCTAAAATGTGAGCATGTATGTCTACACAATAATTCCCATGCTCATCACAATACATTAAGTTATTAGAAAACAGGGTACTGCTGATTAAAGCACATATAACAGCAAGACAGACAGGTCATACCACTGACATGATCATATAGAACGTAAGCGATAAAAGGAAGGCAGGTAAGTTGATGATGAGAAAAACAAAAAGAAATAAACATACCTTTGATTTTCTGTTCTGGCACCTAAAACAGAGAGAATACGTGAGTCAGATATTAGGCAGAAAATGATTTACTACTACCTTAAGAGGCTTTGGTCTTGATTCTGCAACTGAGAAATAAACTAACAAGGCACTACTAAAGAAAACATTAACTACGACACTGAATCATTTTACAAATATAAGGTCTAAGCCTTTAAATGTAGTTACCTAATAAAGTATTCCAGTTTTACAAAGTCAATCCTGGAAGCTGGAATAGCACACAGATTATCTGCAAAATATACTACCTTCTGAGAGGTTTCCCTTTTCTTTTTATCTTCTTTCTTCTTTTTCTTGTCTTCCATGAACTACTGTTCCCTTTCCTGATTCTCCTGTCTGCAAAGAGAAATGTACACATTCAATTATTTATGTTGCACCTCATGGCACACAGAAAGTAATTCAATGCTTACAGAAGCATACCCTTTCACACAAGTATGCAGACTTTGACTCAAAATGAATAACATGCACTTCACTCAAATCGCTGCCAAATGTGCTCCTACACAGTCAGTGTTGTAAGGACTGTAATGTTAACCAGGGGCAGACAGCTTGACAACAGCCCTCGGTAGCCTAGCGTCTCATTGCATAATTCATTAACCAGCAAACGATTGCAATTCCAACCAGCAGACAACACAGGCAGCAGCCAAACAAACAACTGACTCCAAACTCTCCAACATCTCTGGAGCTCATCTGCATTACACTAAAGACAGCAATGGCAACATGATTCACAGGACACCAGCTTTACGTGGAGTACATGACAGGGTCTGTCCGATGTGTTGAAAGACACAGACTTCACACCTGCATCCTGAACGTAAACCTATGCAATATGCAATTCATATCCAGGTCATGTGAGCCTATCTATGTGGAAAGCAACATATGGCACAGAGAGATGAAGAAACGAAATGTTTTAATGTGTAAATGTAAAGAGATCTCACATATCAGTGAGCTGTAAATACGGCTGGGCCCTGTGTTTCTGTTAGCTAAGCTGCTCGTAATTAGCATCATGACACACAGCGCTAATGGAAGCTAACTGGACAACTTGTGGCTTTAACCCTTCAGTGTATTCTGTATAAATGCACCAGCTGATGTGATTACTGGTTATATGTTTATGCGGTGTATTTATAACCCCAACACAGCAGGTGTGTGTAGCCGCACAGGGAGCAAACAGTCTGGACTCCATGTAAATAACAGGCCACTGAGGGATAGCAGTGCAGCTACAGGAGACCACTACAGCTTGACTCGGGTGAGCAGCTAGCTAATGCTAATAGACTTTGAAGCAGCTGGTGAGCACCGTGCCGTGACCCGGAGAACCGGGGGCTAACGGCGGTTGTCTGTCCCAGCGCTAGGTGCCTCTGCCGCTCCGCGCGACGACTCTAACCTCTACGCAGTTAGCTGCAGACAACAGGGACGTCGTGTTAGCTAACGATACGCTCTTAGCACATAATTTACACGCTTTATGGTTATTATACGCAACTTTACAGTCGGTATAAACCCCCCACAGCGGCGAGTCAATGAACAGAGTGCTAACAAGCTGGTTCATCAGTACTAACGGTCGACAGGGCCAAATTAAACGACGAACTTCAGTGACGTTTCTTCGGCATTGCAACGCGTAACAAGCGAAGCTCTACTTAAAACTAAGAAACCCAAATGTTTGCTGTGTAAAGGCGGAAATAACCAACGTTACCGACATTCACACACACACCATGAAGGCTAACGAAGCCAACAGCGTTAAGGTTGAATACTCACCTCGGGAATCACATAGGACATAAAGTGCTTCTGTGCAAAAATTCTTGCAGACCCACCGCTAGCAGGCTAGCAAGGCAGCTAGCCTAGCGAGCTAGTTCTTCGAGGCTTTCAAGGCTAAATTGAATAAGAAATGACATCACCGAAAGGCGAAATGTTAATCGTAGAAAAAAAACGAGGAAAGGCGAGTGTCCTTTGTGAGCGACTGTAGTTCTCAAGCTGTAAACAAAACATGCATAACCCCTTGATGACTGTCAGACGCTGTATGATCGGTTAGTTTACTGTCGGCCATTTTGCTTCTGTGTGGAGCTTTAGCCAGCATATGATATCACCAGGGCTGGTTGTTGATCAGAGAGGGGAGGAGGAGCGGGGCGCGTGCCGACACCGTCCACCAGGGGGCGTCTCAGCACTGGAAACATGACGTCATACACGCGGGGGCGCAAATAAGTAAACAAATGATCACATACACCGCTAATGTCACTCATTCATTTAATCTTAAAGATATATAATCTGTTACTATGGTGACATAAGTTGTTAGTTTCTTTATTTTATTGGGTTCATTCTCAATTCTATATATTTATTTATTATATTGTATAATGTAGTGTTGGGTATTTCTTGTCTTTTTTTTAGAAATATCTGTTAAGTATTTATCATATCGTATTTTTGTACATTGATTATCCTCTTTCCATCTTGTCTTGATTAAATTTTACTCAATGTTGAACTCATGCTCTTTAGATCAACAAAAAAAGGTAACAGGTTTTTAGAATATTACAAAAAAATTATTCAATGAAACCGCCCTGATGTGAAATAAAATGTTTGTCTGTTTGTTCTGTTGTTGTTGCCTGTTCTAACTTTATTTATTATAAGAATTCTAAACATATGCATACTGATATTATGTTTTTAAATACAAACTCAAGACATGCCTTTTAGCCTGGCTTTTAATTGAACTTTGTCCTTTTTTTTGTATTCATTATTATTGTGTATTTATCTTTTTATTTTCTTGCTGGCATATTCTTCTATTTTTTTTATTTTTTTTTATTTAAACTTATTTACTTACTCATTTATTCACAATATAAAATTGTTTTCTATTTCTATATTTTATCCTGCCTCTGGTGTTTCCTCACTCATGATAGCATTGTAATCAGTTCCTCAGTTAGTCTTAGCCATTACAGTCTTTGCTTTATGTGTACGGTACTGCATTCTGTTTGTATGAAAAGTGCTATCTGCTCTTGTAGAATGACACTTATCTTTCATTGCAACTAATTTTTCAGGTTTCATGTATTGTTGTGTTGTGGTGTTATATTTGATGTCACATATCTGTTACTGATGTATTTGATAGTAGTGGCCTTTTATTAAACTATGAGACCTTTCAGTTCATAGGGACTTGTGTTGGGAGCCAGTTCAAGTCCCTGTCTGCACCAAATATGGATTCTGGACTGGTAGCTGAAGAGGTGCTGAAGTGCCCCTGAGCAAGGCACCAACCCCCCCAACACTTTCTATGCATTCCATTTCTATGCTCTGAGGCATTACCTGTCTGTAACTGATTGCTTCCCTGAGCTGCAATTTTAATGTTGCATATTGATCACTCTTTTTACATGTTTTAGCTGGTCTTTTAATATCTGAAAAATTATAGTAACTACACAATGTATTCATTTCAATTTTTTGTACTGTGATATGAGCAGTTAAACATAAATTTTCTTCCCAAACCAGGCTTTTAAGAGTTTTTAAAGACTTCATTCAGTGAATTATTACAAGATTTGATTGATCAAGATGCTGAATTTTCTTCCTCTTCCTGTGAACAGGAATGATGTCAACACTTCCAGGTAGATTGGGTAATTTGACCGAATAAATTTAAAATTAGTCTTTCCATCACTTTGTCTATATTACATTTGTGCTTCAGATTACTTCGATAGTTTCCTCATTGATGTCTAAATGTAAACTGATGTAGTATTTCAATACATAAAATTATCAACAATTAGATCAAGTCTGTTGTATACATTTATTTTTGAAACAGGTTATGAATGTAAAGAAATTGCAGTAAAAAACAAGATCATTTTGTCATAGTGGTGACAGCTTCTGTTGTATGGAGGACAAAAAATAACTTCAGTATCAATCAGTAAATAAATGTAGCAAATATAGAGATAAATAAATAAATACAAGATACAAGAAATTAATGCCAGAATAAACACGGAAATAATAAATAACTGCATAAATAAAGAAATAAACACAGAGGTTAGGACCTCCTACCTTAGTAACATACAGGTAAAGAATTGTATAAATGAAAAAATGTAGTTGGAAAAAAATGTAGAAATAATTTGTCCTATTTAATCATCAACTATTCTTTTTTTCAGTATCTATTTATTTATTCCTGTATTTATTCATACATTTATTTATTCATTTTTTGTAGGCCTATTTATTTCTTTATCCCTGTATTTTTATAAATGTATTTATCTCCATATTCACTTATTTATTCCTGCATCTATTTGTGTATTTATTGATACTTAAATCATATTTTGTCCTCCATGCTGTTGTCCAGTGTAAATACAAACGCAGCACTTGCTGACTTTCAGTCGTACACAGCTCACTTAAAATAATATCTAGTAATGTAGTTTGTCTCTTAAAAAAAGCTGTGTTCATTTAACTACAGTTACATCAGTTTGATACTTTAGGATTGATGTGTATTTGGTTTACATCTTAAAGATTATGTCAGCCCACAAAGGACATAGTCTTTATAGCAAATACAAACTGCGGATGAACAGATTTGTGCCCTCTGCTACAACTTGCTTACAACATCCTGTGATCCCCTTCACTTGTACCTTTTATCTCTGTGTTCTCACAACCATGACCATTGACCCAGATGCCTTAAACATGTGTGATCCCTTGACAGATATCTTTAAAGTACAGTTATATGATAAAAAGTAGTACAAGAATATAAATCTTGTTGATAAAACAGCTAACTAAAGGCAACTCTGTGCTGACATACACTGACCTTTCTCGTGTGGGTCACATCTGCTTTAGTTTTAAAATGCTTTCACTCTTCTCCCATTGTCGCCAGTCCAGCTTGGCTATAGACGAGAGTTATGAAATTCCTCTTTTCATGTATGTACACAGAGAGATTACACATAAATCTAAATTTGCCCTCTCACTTAGAACAGTAGGATGATCTAACCTTAAATATTAACCCTCTGTAGACCTTTATTCAAACACAGCAGAATATAGTTTGCATTGTGAACGTACACACTATGTATATAGCTCTTCTACTGCAGCCTGTCCAGTTCAATCCATGCTACCGCCCTCTGCTGGCTGTGGATGGCGCTGCTTATGGCTGCCAGCAGCTCATCAGTGCAGCTCCAGGTGCTGGGCTCCAGGGTGTAGTAGAGCAGGGGCAGAGTCTCCAGCTGCAGCTCCTCGGCCTGGCACACCTCCTCCATCACGCTGTCCTCTCCACACCGTGGAAAAAACTTCCTGTTTCAGGTATTTGAGGGTCATACGCAGCAACAGCAGACAGAACTTCTTTAAATAAGACTTGAAACTGTCTGCACAGGGAGTAAAATGCTTATTTGGCATACAGTGTGAATGGTGCTAAGTGTATGGTGAAGCTGAATGAAGTACCATCATACTGCAGGGTGTCTACAGGTATCAGACACTTAAATTTAATGCTTTTTAAGACGTTCACAAGATAATTTTAGATAAAATTTAAGACTGGTATTTGGACAAATCATCTGTATCTTACTCAAGCATTGCAGGTATCCTCCTGAGACCTGAACTTTTGTTTGATTCGCATTTTTCATTTCTCCTAGCTATCTGGGATCAGTAAGACCTGATGAGTATAAAAAAACTAAACATTGTCAAAGATAACGTCCCAGCGTCCTTCAACAAGCTGATGAAAAATGTGCTGTCTTCAAACGAATATTTCCTAATGAATAACGTCTTGTCTTGTTCCTGTTGCTAAAATTGGTCAAACTTGTTTCCATATCAAACAACAAACATTATTAACCATAAATAAACAAGTTTCAACCATAAAATGTGATCAGGTTTTGGACCTTGTCCACTTTTGTGTTTGGGTTGGCTGCAGACTGACTTGGCAGAGATGGCTGCCATCTTGTTTTTTTGGATTAGTGTATTGTGCTCTTACTGCCACTAGATGGCACAAAAAGTGTCCAGAAACGAGGACAACAGGTCTGCATTCAGCAGAATGAAGCATAAGGTCAAGTCAACCCAAAATGTGATGTTCTTGTATGAAAGCACAGGGTCTCAGGCAGTTAAACTGTTTTTAAATGTCCTTTTATATTGTCCTGACACCCTGCGTCCTCATATGAGGGCACCTTATACTTTATTCTGCTTAACTTGGACCTGTTCTGTCCTCGTTCGTGGACACATTTATGCTCAGTCTGCAGCTGATCGCGTCACAAGTGCACAAGGTACAAAACCTGATCAAATCATATGGTTGAAACTTGTATATACGTGCTACATAATGTCAGTAGTTTGATATGGCAAATTACAAGGCTTTTCGATATGTTGCATTATTTGCAATTTTGTTTTTGCACATCCATGTCCGGGCATTGAAATGAACAGTTTTGAACAGTTTTCGACTTGAACAGTGACCTCTAACCCGCACAGCTACAACACGTTAAACAACTGTTGTATTGTTTGTATTTTTTTTTTTTTTTTTTGCACAACAGTGTTCAGGTATTGAAATAAACACTTATGTAATTTATTACACAGTTGTGACTACTAAAAATAAACCCATCCTCCCCATAGGAGGACATGTTTTTTGTTTTTGTTTTTTTACAAAAAACTACTTCCTGTTCAAAGGCAATGCTTAGTTTTTTATACTTACCAGGTTCTATTGATCCCACATAGCTCAGAGAAATTAAAAATGAACACCAAACAAAAGCTGGAGGTTAAAACAAAAATTAAGTGATGCAACAATTTTCATTTTAAGGTGGCGGTGAGAGATCCTATTAATTGAAATCTTAGAAAGTTTTCCTCCTTGTGTACACAGTTTATTTCGGCACTAAAAGGAACACACACTTGCCTCAGCTTCTTGTGCTTTTTGTTCTTCGGGCGGATATAGATGACGATAGGGTAAATCCCCTGTCTCAGTAAGCCCTCTACACTGTGCAGCCCCAGCTCCAGCAGACAGTGTTTGTCCTGAGACAGACACAAAGCGTGAGATTTGGATAATGTGTGACAATGTGCATTCATTATTATCACAATATTCTTTTTCCATAACATGAATAGGTGATACAAGTAATAATTCACCAACGAACATCCTCTCACTTTTCCTTGAAGGAGACGTTGGATGCTTTTGCCTTGAGATGATTTAATTCATGATGTGTTTTGCCCTACCTGGCTGATGACATCCTGTATTGACTGCAGCCGTATCCCCAGAGCCTGCTCTTGACTGCAGGAATCCAACAGGAACACTCTCTTGTCTCGTCTCTCTGAGGCCTGGATCGGCTCTGCAAACCACAGGAAACAAAGAAAAGAGGAAGTGTGTCATGATAACGGTAAAATAAATCATTAAAGTCTTTGTTCACTGAGTTCATCAGTGTCTGGGGCATCATGTGTGTGAATAAGTGTGTACCTGCTGGGCAGGTGTCAAACTTCAAACCGGACTCTGCTGGCTGCAGCAGCCTCTCTATGAGACCACAAGAGAGAAGAGAGGGGGCGAAGATGACCGGCCGCTTAGTCTGAACCTGCACCGGCTGCACTAAACTGTATGGGATCAGGTGCTCCTCATGACCTAAGGGGACACATGAATGTCACTTCAATACAAAGTGCACTAGTGACTGTAAAGATAACTAAAACATGATTTATGTGTTGCATTCTGGGAGCACTATAACGGGAATCTTACGTTTGCTGAGTGTGTAAAGGACCTGATGTGTGGAACCAATCCCACGGCAGCCGGGGTCCACTGCTTTGACCAATCGTACACGTCCGGACGCTTTCTTCAAGAACTTCATGTAGGAAAATGGAGAAAAATAAACATCTTACATTCATGTGTCACCAGTTCTGTTGTAGTTTTAAGCACAAATTGAGCCTGCCGTTCATTTTAACATATCAGACTCACCTTCTTCTTGAAGTCCTTTTGGTCCAGGGCCATTTTTCGTAGCCTTACAAGCAGCATCTGCTGTGCCCTGAGATGGAAAATATTTATTTGTTATTTACACTCCTAACTCTGCATTATTAAGGTGAGACACTACAAGTCAGCCCTGGTCAGTTTTCAATAATCAGCTGGGGTTTCATGATAATATCAGTTACAGTTTTTACCCTGTTCACCTGTTGTGTCTTTTTTTAATCTTAAAATGTATGAAATTATACAAAACATATATCTTTAAAGGCTGTTTTCTCAAAATGAGTTTTCCTCTCGTACTCTGAGCAAGAAACCCCCAAGACAGTAACACTTACATACACCAAACATTTCTTTTTTTAAATCAGTTTTTTTATTTCTTATTTTTTTGTCCTTGTATTTTTCATAGCTGGATTTGTAAAACATTTTAAATAATCCCAAAAACATGGCTACATTTTTATTTATTTATTCATTTTTTATGGCTGTTGACGGTATTTTCTGATGGTATGATAAAAAGAAATATATAAAACCCTCTCCAGCAGTAAAGTTGAGGTGTGACAGGCGTACCTGTTGTAGTTGGGCATGGTCCCTCTCTGCTGGGGCTTAGCTGTGAGTGGATCCACCAGGGAACAGTGCCAGTGGTATTTTCCATTGTACCGTGTGTCTGTCACTTTTACAATGTCGTCACAAGACACAGCCAGAGACGGCGGGTCACCGTGAGGCTCCATGTTGAGGTTGACACGCACGTAGAAGGAGTCAGCACCCATGAAAGAAGGCGAGGAGAGCTGGGAGCACAGCTTGGCGTATGCTGAGGACAGGGAGCAGAGGAGAGGACAGCTTAGTCTCACCGCTCTGAGATATGAATAGAACTTTATGTGCATCATGGGGAGATTTTTCAAGAATACAATGTTTTGTATTAATGTTTTAGAGCAGTGAGAGAACAGCCTCACCCTCTGGGTTGCTCCGGTGTTTGAGTGTGGAAGGCTCAGCCCACCACTGCAGAGAAAAGTGGGCCACCTCAGCAGTGCACTGGCCCAGCAGCACACTGCCCCCTCCGAACAGAACACCCTCCAGCTGAGCAACATAAAGAGAGGAGGGCATGTTATGTTCCTGCCTTATGATCTTAATCATTTTCACTTTTTTGTAATGGAGATTCAAAATTCACACATCTGTAGGCAGAACTGTGATGTGCGCTAGTCCAAAAATCACATCTGTTAGCATCAGCTGAAGCACTCATTCTCTCTATGACTCATGTACGTACACAGAATTCTCACACATGATTTATTCACCACACTGACACACACCTCCAACAGCTCGCTGCCCTCCTTCAGTCCACACTGTTCAGCTGGAGAACCGGCTCTCACATGGCTGACAAAGATCCCTGTTTGATTTCCTCCGACTATCGTGATGTCATCAGCCAGACTGGCTCTCCCGTGCTTTGGTGAGATGGGCGGACTTGAGGACGGGGAGCGGGAGGGTATCCTGAGAGAGGGCAGGAATAGTTAAGGATGTAGGACATGTACATACAAAGGGCAAACTATCTATGAAAGTTAGATGTTGCTGTGAGCAGTGTATCAGTGACATTATTAGCTATCACAAATTACAGTATTTTTTAGAGGTTTTCTTTGATGCTCGTACCTGGGAACTCGAGGCCTGGGCTGGTGTGAGGAGACTGCGGGCAGGTTGACCAGGTCAGGAGGGAAGAGATGAGAGTGTAAAGAGTTCCAGGAATCCCACAAAGAAAGTTCACTCTGCTCACCTGAAAACACAAGAGAGCTTCATAACTTAGGCTCACCACACACTTCATTTAAAGGGTAGCACACCCAGAGCTGGAGCCAGGACCTTCTCTAGTTTGTTTTATTGTATGCTGATGCCAAATGAAATCACAGACAGACAGTCATTGAAGCTACAGTTGGTACCTTTTATAAAGCGAACTATTTGCTGAAAGTGTCACTATATCCACACAGCAGTCCTTTGTTTGACCTTATCTTACATGGCTGTTGGGTCACAGACTTTCTCATTTTACAGCCAAACAGTACACTAAAATATGTTTCTGAAAACATTTGAGGTGAAAAAAGGCAATGCAGTAACAGAATCTTGATTCACATTTAATCAGTGCTGCCTAGTTTGACAGTTTAGCCCAACACATTCTCACTCCAACCTTGTCACATATCGACGTTTGGTCATGGACCTTTCATGTTGAAATACGACATGAAAGGTACCCTGGGTGTGTTGGCTGTTGACGTTCTGGGACACCGTGTCAAGTTCGGCCTGTTACATGAACTGTCTTCTTTCAAAATACACTTACGTTTTCACAGAAAATTTAATGTTAACATACAGTCTCTTTCAAAATAAACGCACTTCGTCAGTACAGCAATGCAAATTGACACGTGGTTAGGTCAAGGCAGTAGGCGTTTCCCCTTGGTGCCTCAGAGCACCGTTAAACAGCGACTGGCCACATATCAGGACCGTTTTTTCGTTAGTGTCTGATGCCACAAGTCACTGCCCAAGTGCTGGATTTCGACGACTACAGAGTGAGACCGGGTTGTTTAGCTCCGTTTCCAAACACTTTCAGTATGGTACCTTTGGAACCAAAAGTAACCCTTCAGACATGGTCGTAGACCCTAAGGTTTCCACTGCAAATAGTGCTCTTAAATGTGGGCAGGGCTGTTGTCACTCACTGCTCCGTCCAGCACTCACTGTATTTCCTCCTTTATCAGTCTGCACCTCGTTTATCGTCCACAGAACGAGGCTGCACGCCCACATTTTCAGAACAAAGCAGATCAGGCTGCAGTGAGAGTCTCTCTCCATGGGATAATTAAAAATAGCGGGTTTGTGCATTTAGTCCTTCTCAGGCAAGCTCAGGGGTTTAGTGTTGCTGGAGCTACAGGAACGATGCTCTGCAACGCCTTTTATTCCGAGTGAGGCTTGGGATATATGCAGCTCACATAATGCTTGAAGATCCACTCATTACTAAAAGTGTATAAAAACTAAACTAATGGTCAAAGTTGTCACAGTAAAATTTAAAAGAATGAAGTTATTTTTCTCAGACTCCAGCTGCTGTGAGAGGCAGCAATTTCATTTTATAGTTACAGTTTACTAATAAAACTCTCCACAGTATGAACAGTGGTTACATGAGCCTCAAAACCAGACACAACTCAGCCCTGAGCAGAGTGACCGTCCTCTACTGACCAATCAGACTGCAGTGTTCACAGCTCCACCTTTTAGTACCAGATCTGTGTGCTAGGTACCCCAACAGAGGGGGGACCAGACAGACGGGACAGAACGGTTCCATTGGTACCATCCACAACTTTTCACAGTGGAAACGGAAAAAGCGTACCGAACTGAACTGAACTGAACTGAACTGAACTGAACTGCTCAGTGGAAATGGGGCTTTTAACCACAGTTTACGAGCAGTGACTGACATGACTGACAGCTGCCTTACAGACTCCTCAGCTCTGATTGGTTGTTTTCGGTGTGTTGCAGTAGATTCTAGCAAATGCCAATAGAGACTAGGTGTAGTGACAGTTTCAGCAAATATGACAAGTTATTTTCATTAAAAACTGTAGCTTTCAGATGTTAATTTAGTTTTTTTTGTACATGACTCAACTACCAGTAGTGAATTATATTCACGTGGGCAGGTCCTTATTTTGTTTGCAAATAAGAATGTGAAGACCCAAATATACCTGTAATATTATCGTTCTCATCACTGCCCCAGGATTCCAAGTCAAACCTGTTCAAAGCATAAAAGAGGGATGTAAATAAGAATGAAATAAAGGTGAAGAAACTAGAACAGGCTGAAGACGTGTGTTGACATGTGGGGCTGATGAACTCACTCTGTGTTGCACCGTCGGTTGATGGAGTTCATACACGGAGGAAAGGGGAATGTGGAGAGACGATTTATTTCTTTTTCATTGTCTTCTGTCTGTTGGTAGAGAGGTAAATAAAAACACTGACTCTGACTCTTTTATTCTTTCTTCCATTTGTTCTGTCAGCCCTGTGATACTCACTGACAATAGGAGATTCTCCTCTGAGTTGGAGTGGGAATCTGTGAAGACGCAAAAAGAATATTTGAATGAATAAAGTATATCTGCAGCTAAAGAAGTAAATAAAGTACGAGTATTCTGTGCTGAACTTAACTTACCCCCTGAGTTTTCATTGGCTTGGCCACTAGAGGGCGTCTGTAGCACAGAGAAGATGAGTAAATACAGCGTGACCTAGTGAGAGGTACTGTGCATGTACTAACACGCTAAGAGTTGCATAAGAATCTACTAGCGTCTCAGACTTGAGTCAATAATAAGATCCTAGCCTAGCTGCAGAAATGTTCTTAGCAGTCCAAAAGCTACATCCCTTGCATACCATAATAACTACATGAGAAAACATGTCCACAACAGTTGTTTCCCATGGAAATGATCCCTTACAGTGCCAAAAGCAGTTATTACATTACCTAAACAACACCCTCTTTTGCTAATTGTGATTTAAATCATGACTGGGGTGGTGGTGATATGTGAAATAATGGCTGTGGTAGCCAGCTCTGACCTTTCGCAGCAGCGGGCGGGTGCCATTGGCCAGGCCGAGGGAACAGCAGGGGCCGTAGCACTGGTCCTCACTGCACAGGGAGAGGTGGGACTGGGGAGCAGACGCAGGGATTCATATAAACTGTTCTGTGGTTGCAGAGGGAAAGACAGCGCTGTACTGACAACTTGCTTGTGTTAACTCACACAGTGCAGACAGGGGCTGTTCTGCTCGATCTGCTCCCGGCTCCTCTCCCTTTCTCTCTCCAGCTCCCTCTCCTGCTGCTCCAGGTTGGCCTGCAGCTCTGCGATGCGCTTACGCAGACGGTTCTTATCCAGCAGACAGTCGGTGTACTCCAGCTGCAGGCTGTCTCGACTGCGCAGAGCCTGGTGAGAAGATGGAGATAGACGGAGAGAAGAAGTTTGCATGGTGTAGAAACTGTTAGTCAGGGATGCTAATATAGGGGGAATTAAACTGCAACGAAACTAACTACACGTGTGCTTTGCATGGGTGGATTATGAGACGGTGGGCCCCTCGGCAAAAGGCCCCACCACCTTTAATATACAGAAGCAAGACACACAGATTTGGTGGTTTTACGTCATCCTTTTGTGGTTCTGTGTCTCTCTGTGCTCATTTTGTATTTCCTTGTGGTTGCTTTGCGTCTCTTTGCAGTTCCTTTGCATCTCTTTGTGGACATTTTAAGTCCCTTTCTAGTCTGTACGGGTTAATTTGAGTGACATTTTGCAGGTTAAGGGTAGGCGGGCCCCCTGACACTTTGAGCCTTTGGGCCTGTGCCTGGTAGGCCTGTTTAGTAATCCATCCATCCATGGCACCTTGATGCACTCTTTGTGTTGATTGGAGACTGTGTTGGGCCTAAAGGTGTACAGAGACGTCATTATTCAGCTCTGTATTTGGATATAAGACCAGAAGTGGGCATGGTTTATACAGAAAGTTGCATTAAATAAGAATACAACAATTGTATTTTCTAACCTATTATTCATTGGCAATGCAGTTGTTGTGGCTTCAAAGCATCAAACTGATTTAATGATGACATATAATTAATGCCTTTGAAATAAATATGTAAAAATATGAAATAAATTCATAAATAAATGTAAATATAAATATAGATGAGTCAATAAAAAATAGGTTTATTGGAAAAAATTTTTTTTCGAGGGACTACTTTATGTCATTTCAGGGGACTTTTATTTCCAATTGCCACATTTATTTCCTGGCTCCTTTTATTTCCTGTTTTTTTTTTTTTGGTAGTTTTTGGTAGGGTGTGAGTGGACGCTAAATCCAAAGTCTATGAAACCCTTGGCTACAGCATATATCTTACATGGATGAATATCAACTGAAATACAAGGTAAAATATGTTTTTCTTAAATGGAGGAATTTAAACCTACAGGTTACCAGTTTCATTTTGATGTGCAGTTTGCAGGATTTGTGTCAGGAAGGACCCAAATGCAGAGCAGCAGGCAGGTTTGAGGTTAAACAAAAAACGAACTTTAATTAAACTGATGGAAAAACATCCAGAACAGGCAGGTAACAGAAAGTCAAAATGACAGAGGAATCAAAATTAACTCAACCAACTCAGGTAATAATTCGAAACAGAACACAAGACATCAGGCAGGAAATGGAGCAAGGATTGAACGCAGACGAACTGACAAGGAACAGAAGAAAACACACAGGTATATATACACAGAAAACTAATCACAAGGATGAGTAGGTGGACACAGGCAAAAGGAGGGACATGGGGATTGGCTGACAGCAAGGGTGTGAAGGGGAACACTAGGGTGGAGCAAACAAGACTAATACAGAACAGGTGTGAAGGGAAGACTCTGGGAACAGGGAACGACTAACGAGGCAGGTGTGACAAAAAAAATAGGTGGGAAAACACACAAAGACAGGAAGTAAAACTAGACATGACACATGAGGAGAGACTGTACAAAATAAAACACATGAATGAATAACATGAAACAACGAAGAACACAAACAGAAAACTCCAAAGGATAAGAGAATATAAACAAAAACCCAGGATCATGACAATTTGAAAGAAATCCAGCTGCCACACCAGGCTTTGTCTCCTGCTGCTGCTCCTGCACATGATGCCTCCTCCTCCTCTTGATGGAGGCGATCAGAATACAACAAACACTTTTTTAAATAATTTAGGAAATGAAACAACTGTGAAACTAAAGTCCTATTTTGGGTAAAATATCAGTTTCCATTAGCATTATTTGTGCCTTGCCGAATAACGTAGGCTAATTGGATTCACCTAGTTGGGCCTCTGCTCACACTGACCTGGTCTCGCTCCTTTTCCAGTTCCATGATCTGGTTGAAATAGGACACACTCCTCTTCTGCTCAGTCTCCCAGTCCAGCTGGAGAGTTCTCACCTTCAGCTGCAACTGCTCGCACTGCGACTCCAGCTGCAAACACAGTTCACCATCACAACCTCCATCCCAATAAAAAACACTGGCTTTGGCTGTAAATCAAACCATTTAAACAACAGGTTAGAAATGTAAAGCTTATTGGTGACAGCTGTTCACCTTCTCCCAGTGCTCCTCTGTGCTCTGTAGCTCCCCCTGTAGTCTGGTAATGATATCACAGAGCTCCTGCCTCTGCTCTGCGGCCTCCCTGCGGTCCTGCTGCAGGATATCCAACAGAGCCTGAGGGTAAACAACAGAAACCACGTTTCAAGAGCATAAAACACCGTACCTTTAGAAATGTCATCGTTGTTCTGAGGGACAAACCATGAGGAAAAGACAGTGTGGCTGATTCAGACACAAAAAGAGTGAACATGTGCTTCTCAGTGATAAACATTGTAGACAGTAAAAACATACTATGGCTCCAGAGGCAGGACCTGAGCCCCTCATCTGAGCTGTTGTATTCTCAGCTTTCTGAATATCAATGCGGTGCAGCGGCTTTTCCGGTAAAGGAGGTGGAGAACCATGTACGCCATTGGAGAGCAAACTGTTGCATTTTGCTGGCGTTGAATTCCCCGGTGTAACGACTTCTTTGTTCTCTGCCTCTGCCAACCTGGACTTCAGCTCCTCTACCTGTATGGAGAAAAAGCAAGGCGACATAATATTTTAACATGTAGCCTTTCAATTTTCCACCCTAGGTATTTATTATGCTGTTGTTAAGCATGTTTAAAGGGACATCCATCCATCCATTTTCATCTGCTTATCCAAAGCAGGGTCGTGGGGGCAGCAAGCCAAGCAAAGCACCCCAGACGTCCCTCTGCCCAGCAACGCTTTCCAGCTCCTCCTGGTGGATCCCAAGGCGTTCCCAGACCGGATGAGATAAGTAATCCCTCCAGCATGTTCTGGGTCTGCCCCGGGGCCTCCTACCAGTGGGACGTGCCTGGAACACCTCTAATGGGAGGCACCCAGGAGGATCCTGATCAGGTGGCCGAAATACCTCAACTGACCCATTTCGACGTAGAGGAGCAGAGGCTCTACTTCGAGCTTCCTCTGGATGTCTGTGCTTTACACCCTATCTCTAAGGTTGAGCCCAGCCACCCTTTAGAGGGAACCCATTTCACTACCCAGAGTTCATGACCATAGGTGAGGGTTGGGACGTAGATGGACCACTTAATCGAAAGATTCGCCTTTCAGCTCCCTCTTCACCAAGACAGTCCAGCACCAAACAGCTGATCCATCTGACGCTCCATTCTACCCTCACTCGTGAACAAGACCCTGAGATACTTGAACTCCTTCACTTGGGCAGTAACTCTCTCCCAACCTGGAGGGGGCGATCCACCGGTTTCCACCAGAGAACCGCGGCCTCAGATTTGGAGGTGCTGACTCTCATACTGACCACTTACCACTTGGCTGCAAACCGCCCCAGTGCATGCTGGAAGTCACGGTGTCATGAAGCCAACAGAACCACATGATCTGCAAAAAGCAGAGATGCAATTCTGAGGTCACCAAACTGGACCCCTTCCTCCACCCAGCTGCGCCTCGAGATCCTGTCCACGAATATCACAAACAGGATCGGTAACAAGGGGCAAACCTGGTGGAGGCCAACACCCACTGAAAACGTGTTTGACTTTACGCCGAGTATGCGGATGCAGCTCTCACTTTGGGCCGGATGGTTCGTAGCAGCGACTGTACCACATTTAAAGGGACAGTAAGGACATGTTCTTCTGATTTTGGGTTGAACTGTCCCTTCAGGATGCAATTATATTGGCTCATACACTATAGCAAACATTAAGCTGTCAGTGCAGGACTATTCCAAAAGACGTGGTACAAACACATGCCTTCTTTCCAACCCTCTATCCCAGGAGTCAGGAAGATAAGGGTAAATAAAAGGGAAACCAATGTGTTTATTATACCCACTACATTCCTATATTTGCAGGCCAACTGTACAAAACAAGGCCATAGTGAACATAATGCAGTATCACCATCGCTTAAGGGAAAAATAGCCACAAATATTTCCCGGTATTCACAGCAAAGTGGTTGATAACTCAGCAGTATGGTGGACAAGTTGTGACAGCACACAAGCTAAATAAGGGGCAGGCTGATAATATCTACAGTTGTTTTGAATTGCTCACTTCAGCTCTTCAGTTTCAGCTGCGTGCCAGCTTCAGTAGTTTCACTTTGACTGCCTTGGGCACTATTTTCTGCGGCCTTATCGTGCCATCGAAGAAAACATTTATTATTTTCATACCCTTCGTCTCCAAAAACTTAAAATAGACATCGTTTTGCAAAAAAACTAAACTTCCTGGGCCACACAAGATAAATAAGGGGCAGGCTGATAATATCTACAGAGTTGTTTTGAACTGCTCACTTCAGCTCTTAAGTTTCAACTGCGTGCCAGCTTCAGCAGTTTCAACTTGACTGCCTTGGGCACTTATTTTCTGCTGCCTTATTTTCATACCCTTCGTCTCCAAAAACTTAAAATAGACATGGTTTTGCAACAAACTAAACTTCCTGGGCCACATGATACGCACCTTAAAGTTTAGAGAAACAGGGGAAAACAAGTAGTTGTAATGACAGGAACACTATTATCAGCAAATTCACCTTTTCTGCAGCAGGTATACAGCTGTTTTTAGAGTCAGGACAGGCTGAGGAATGTGGTGGTAGAGAGGGAATGACTCATCCTCTAAGGGGCCTTTTCCCAGTGAAGGACTTGTTGTGTTAGACCAGTGAGCTCAGTGATTTTATAACATGGCTGTGGTGAACGAAACCAGTCTAAGGTGAATTAAGTTCAAGCATGATATAAAAACATGATGGAATTTTTTACATGTGCTGCTCCCAGCCGACCCACCTGCCTCAGCAGCTCTCTCTCACGGGTGGAGGCCATGCCCTGTTCCTCCAGGGCCCGGGAGTACTTCACAGCCTGCTCCAGGTGCCTGTCCTTGAGCTTTCCCAGCTCTCGACTGGCAGACTCCCAATCCTGACGCAGCCTTGAGATCACAGATTCATCAGTTAGGACTTGGTGTTACTATCCCTGGAGTTTTAGCACACTTCGTGCCAGAGCATAGGTGCCACCCCCTGACACATCATCAGTTGTGCACCTCAACATCATACTTAACTTCTCTGACTTGCAGGAGATCTTTGCCCAAAGAAAGTGAAGAATTTAAAATATTAAATCTCAAAGACCAGCTGATAAGCCCTCTATAGACACAAAGCTACCTCTCACTGCCCTCCTGATACCATCAACGAGAGTCATCTCATCTCTTATCATGAATTAGTGAATATTATTCTGGGACAAGAGTTTCATCGCCTGATAACAGCAGGATGCAAACGAGGAAAAAGAAAGAAGGAATTACAAAAGTGAGACGAACCTCTCAAGCTGCAGTTTGTCCTGACGTAAATCCTGAGCTTTACGTTCGGCGCGGCTGCGTTCCTCCTCAGCCATGCGGCAGCGCTGAGACAGGCGCCGCTCACACATGCGGCTGTTTCGAAGCTGCTCCCTCAGTTTACGCACCTCCAGGAGCAGAAACTGGGTCAAACCCTCTGGACCTTCTTCATCTGGGGAGTAAAGACAGGTGGAGGTTATAGATGCTTAATGTACTGCATGGAGACAGTAAGAGGGGCTTGTTTTTAATGTTTTAGAAGATGGGACGAACATGGACTTTTGACATCTCGGTGCTCTGAAATCTTGTGTATACTGAAATCTACCAAAAGACCTTTTGTCATAGCATATTCCTTCAAGTTCCCATACTGGCTCTACCGTTACTGCCGAATGTCTGAAAGCCTTTCACTGGATTCTGCTTGTTTAACGTGCCCTTCATCCTTTCAATACTCTCGAGCATCGTAGTAACAAAGAACAGTGCGCTCAGCTCTGCGGAGAAAACTTAGATAACATTGAACACTGAGTTTCTGGCTCTAAAAGTGAGTTGTTAACCACTTTTTAAGTGCTTGTATCTGTTTGCTGGCCACGAAACAATCAAATCTAAACCTCAGTGAGCTCTTTTCAGTGTGAATATCTCAGCTCTTTGTGTGTTTGCTATGTGCCAGCAGCAAACATTACTACGCAACTTCCTGCACCAACACGAACGGGGCTGAGGCCTTTTTTGAAAGTTCTTAATTTTGTGTTTTAAACATAAGTATTCACAAATTCAATTAAGCGTCTAAAAATGAAACCGCTGATAAGTTATAGTTTGTTTTATATAGTCTGTTTCCAAGAGAAACCCATGCAAATTCTCACACCACAGCAAGATATCTCCTTCACTTCCCTTTCTATCCCTGTTATCACATATTATCAAGAAATCCAAAGAATCCCTGCCAAAAATTTTAGGTTATTTACTCAAAAGCACATTAAAACTATGCGACTGTACTTCCAGTGGGCCAACAGTTTAATAGGCTTTATTCCCAGGACATTTTCACATACCATGTAAGTATTTTGTTGATTTGCTTTTTTAAGCCTGAAGTCAGTTTAAAGGAAAACTTCTGTGTTTTTGAAGCTGGACCCCTTTTCCCCATGTTTTTATGTCTAATTGAATAATGGAGACAACAATTTTTGAAACTGCTCCAGTATTGAGAAAGACTGCTGCAGCTGCAGTGGCAAAACAGGCTATAGAGAGCTGAAACGTTCTCCCTTACCTCTCACTAATCTGCTCTGTTTGTTAGTGTGTGTAACCAAGGTTCACTCAAGGAGAAGTCCTGTTCTAAAATCTCGCAGACTTTTCCACATTGTCGAAATCAGCTTAATATTCAGCCATGCCACACTTAAAACCTTTTAGATAACACTAAGCTATGCTTGTCCTTGTTGTTTTCTTGCAACAAGTCACCTCTCACAATATTTCAAGAGTGAGACGTCTCCTTGAGCGAGACGTGGTCTCGGTAACAAACAGACCAGCAAAGTAGGGGTGGGCGATATGGCCCTAAAATAAAATCACAATATTTTAGGGTATTTTTGCGACAATGATATTCTTGACGAGATGAAAAATTAATAAAAAATTATTATTAATTCAAGAACACAGAATTGCAACATTTCTTCAGTTTGTGAACAACAACAGTAACTCAGAGTGAGAATCAGATTCTGTATACAATATTAACAGTTCAACAAAACAAAATCTACCACAAATTACACATTTAAACAGCTCCCAAATACAAAAAATGTCCCCTGGGATCTATATATATAAATCAACAGGTGATTTCCTTCTTTTAGTAAAATCCTAAATGATTGAGTTGTTGTTTTTTCCGCCTGGACCTTTATGCTCTGCCATTTCTCCTCTAATCATCACGCTGTAACCTGTGACAGGCTGTTATGATACCACAACTATCACACATTCACACAGACACTGCTATGTGAGCACGGTGAGAGAGGAGAGGGAGAGACGCTGTGCTGCTGCCAGAGGAGCCGCTGACTGAGTTCCCTCTGAGCGGTAAGTCACTAAAAGTGTCTGAGAAGTCTGGGGCTGTTCTTGAAACATTCAGGACGCCACAGTTTATTCCACACTACTGAAGCTGCTCCTCTTTCTGTAATAAATTTGCTTTCAGCCCTGCCTGTTGTTGCCCTGGGTAACAGTATGATGTCAAAATGTCAACAAGTCGAAATAATGCAAATAGCATGATATGAATTTTATATATCATATCAAAAAATTATACTGGTATTGTGATATTATCGTGAATGAGATAATATGGCACACCCCTACAATAAGTCTGCACTTATAGCAGACGTACACTGACGGTGCACAATTGCCCTTGGGGATTATATTGCAGCTGATTTCACTACTGTGGCTGCAGCGGTCTCTCTCAATCCTGACCGATTTCGGTCCAGGTTGAAAAATACCGAAGTTTACGTTTAAAGACCGAGTCAAACTAGATAGCCCTGCTTACCTAGTATGAGGGAGCACCGCTGTGTGGGCTTCTCTCCTGTCAGCTGTGTGTACTGGTCTGGGTGGTAAAACTCCAGTGACTCCATGAAGGCTTGAAGCCCTCGCGGCCCCTGACCACGCAGAATGTCCAGCAGACGACCTGTTCAATGAAAAAGGGTTAAAAAAAGTGTATGAAATCAAACTAATGTAAACTTGTGTCAGCATTTTGGTGCAGTAAACCATCAAAGCTGAAACTGTCTAACCACAAAAATCCTCCCTCTTTGATCCAAGTGTCATTTACACTGTAGTTACACAGGTATGTCAAACATGAGCATGATGAATGAGCGGCTCTAGCATGAGCTAACTCACTGGCAACGAAACAGCAGTGATACGAGCACTGAGCTCAGGTGTTTGTCTTCATCCCGTCTTTACTTGCAACATCCCCCCTTCATCTTTTATCTTCTTTCACTCCCCATACACTCCCCTTTACTTAGCCACGTCTTTCATCTTACTCTCCCCTCAGTTCCTGCCTGTTTCTCTCACTGCAACATTTATCTTCATCCACCTGCTCTTCTCTGACAACATGCTGCACAATCCCACACTGAATGTTTCTTCTTCGAGAGTTTTACTGCACTGCTCCCCATTTTCAAAGCATCTCATACAACTGTAGATCAGTTTCTTGTCGTCCAGGCAGCCATTTGTATCAGTCTATCTCTGTAAAGCCCATATTGCATGTTGTCCCACTGTCTGTCTTCCCTTGCTTCCTATCATTTTATCTCATTAAGTGTGTCATGCAAGAAATTCACCTTATTCTTCATCATGATAGTGCCCATGTTTGTTAAGTTTATGTCTTCTCAATTTGATATTCTACTGTCGATATTTTGCATGACAATATTGTACTGATACAAGAAAGCCAAGTATCGATTCTTTTATTAATACTAGTCCATACCCTTTGTTAGCTTTGTCACCTTCTACCTATGCCAATCCTCAATGCCTATGTGCAGTTTCACATAGATTGACCACGTCAGTGAGTAGAAAAACGTGGGACAGACAGAATGACACACTGACAGTTTCCGTGATTATGTACAGCATACAATACCATGACTTAGTCATAGCAAAAATTAGAAAAAAAACAACATTGGTCCACAGGGGGAGCCACAGCGATCGGTCGCATTTTAGCCATTTGTAAGCATTTTTCTGTTGTTATAGCGCCACCCAGTTGCCAATTAGAGTTACATTTCTCCAGTCACCTTGAGGCGTCCTGTTCTACATATCTACCAAGTTTAGTAAAAATCCATATGGCGGTTAGGCCTAGATAATAAATTAGTTCTCTAGTGCCCCCATTTTGTTTGATGGGGTCAATAATGGAGAGGTCCCCTCAGATTATGTGTGGTCATATGCCTACAAAGTTGCGTGGTGATGGGTGAAACCCTTGAGATGTTATACACCTTTATGTGATGAGCCACGCCCTGCACAATATTCATTGCCTTATAGAAGCTCAGTTTTAGTAAGTTTTCCAACTTTTGCCAAGAGGGAACTTTAGATATTGGTCCCTAGATTATGTTCACCCAGTTTCATGCAGAATGCTCAAACTTCCTAGGAAGAGATCGATTTGAAGTGTTTTTCAAAAAATTCAAAATGGCGGAAAATCTATATAAGCGGAAGATATGGGTTCTTGAGGCAAATATGTTCCTCATGAGGAGAGGCATCTCTGTGCAAAGTTTCATGTCTCTACGACATACGGGGCATGAGATATGCCCATTCAAAGTTTGCAACTTCAGTCGGTTGCTATAGCGCCCCCCTTTGGCCAATTGATGTAATATTGCTTCATTCACATCCTCCCATGACCCTCTACCACTGTGCCAAATTTCACATGGACTGACCAAGTCAGTGAGGAGAAAAACGTGGAACAGACACACACACAGAGTTTTCATCATTATATAGTAAGATTGTGACTAATGTGGCAGAGCACTACAATAACAAAATCAGCTGCTTTTTCAGCCCACTAGATACATTTTGCTGCAATAAAAATGACCGACATTAGACAAACAGACTGAAACCTTATTAGATCAATCAAATGTTGACAAGGTTTTCCGTTGGGGACACAATTTGCAGTTGAAGAAAGGGATTCAAATATTGGGACATGCAATACCGAACACATGGGATGCCTTAAACGTCCATTACCAGGAAATGGCACAAAAACAAATAAATGAATGTGTGGGAAATCCTGGAAGGAGCCAAATCAACGGGTAAAACTACAATAATCAACTTCCTGTTGACCTGTCCCTTGACAGTTGACAGTTGATTGACAGTTGATTAATTGATTGATTAAAGTTGATTCTCAAACTGCAGTTTTATGATCTGGAACTGTTGAAAAAAGCATATTAGTTTTGTAGCCAATGGGTAACATATGCACAACCGACTGCATGGTCTTTTATGTCATGTCAAATAAAAATGGTTAAACCTGATGGCTGCTTGGTAACAATTTACAATAAGGAACATAAGGGAACAAATATATATATTGATGTTTTCAAATGACTTTATCCTCCTCTCACCGGCCTTGCTGATGCGCAGTGGGTACTGTGTGGAGTTGAGCACCTCGTCCTCATCCTGCTCGTCGATGACCTTGCACTGCCGCAGATAGGGGGTGATTTTGGCCGGGTTCAGGATGCGTGTGAGCTTGTGCCGTACCCCCTCCACCCGATCCCAGAGCTCCTCACAGCGCTCCTCTGACCAGGGGGGAGAAGATCGCGCCTCCTCCTGAGCGATGTCCCCGTCCTCTGCCCAAACTGTGACACCTACAAGAGACATTTACAAGCAGGTCAGGAGGTTGTAGTACCGTAAAAAGGACTGTGCACTGGCACGAGTAAGAAGAGAGAAAAAATGTTGCAATAGCTCAGTGACTCCAGAAATGTTTTGCTTCTTTGTTTTGCTACTTTACTTCACTGCTCAGATTTACAGACACATGTATCTGATGTCCAGAAGAAGACTAAATAGGAGGTGAATTCCACTGGAATTTGATTTTGTCTAACAAGGCTTATCAACAGTGTTTCACTTCAGCATGTTGCTACTATGGTTTCTAAACAATCACAACCTGTCTGCTTCTCGATATAAGAGAGATAAGACACCAGGAGCAAATGAGGCACTTTGTGACATCTTTAAAAAACCATTAAAGTAAAATTTGTAACATGACGATCCTCTTTGTCCAACACTGACGGGCTATATAATAGAAGTTACACAGTACTTAAGGATGTGTGAGGTTTTATCTGCTGCACAGTGAAGGAATGAGGTGGAGCCCCTTACTGGAAATCTTCCAAGGAATGCAGCGGGGGATTTACTCCCTACAAAATACCATTTGCCCTTTGGAGAGCAGATATGGTGTTAAATCTCACATAACGAGGACACCTTGATCAGCTGAAAGCCTATAAGCGTCTGTATGAATGAAGATGAACTTTTATTTTACACCTGGTGGGAGTTAATATGTCAGCAGCAGTCTAATTTCTGTAGAGCAAAGAGTCTGCTGTTACGAGGGTCATAAACTATAGTGGGGAGGACACTCTGTGGGTCTGTGGGTCTGTGTCTCAGAGCGCTGGAATGAAAATACTGGCGTGACTCATATTGCACACCTAAAAACACACCAGGGGTCTGCAGACAAAAGCTGTCTCAGTTCCATTTACTTTACACTGTGGAGGAGACAATGAGAGAAAGTGAATAACTCTGCCACTACACTACAAAACAGCTTCTCACACTGACTGCCCAAAGTGTCAGGGCCCCTCAGCCTTCACCTGCAAAATGTCACTCAAAGAGACATTTTACTGACCGAGAGGTGACTCAAAATAATTACAAAAAAAGGGGAAAACCCAAACCAAACAACCAGAAAACATAGAGAAAAAAACTAAAAAGAGCAAAAAACATCCCAAAAACACACAAAATTACCTAAGAGAGACACAAAATGACAAAAAAAAAAGACAAAATCACCCGAAAGAAACACAAAACAACTACAGAGACACAAATATCTAACAAAATGACCTCAAAGACACAAAATGACCTCAAAGAGACAGAAAATTACTACAAAGAGAAACAAAACGCCCAAAAAAAGACAAACTCGCCTCAATGAAACACAAAAACTAACCAAAAAAGACACATATACACCTCAAAGAGACACAAAATGACTTAACAGACACAAAAATCGACCAAGAAAGAAAGAAAATTACCTCAAAGAGACACAAAACAACTACAAATAGAAACAAAATAACCATAAAACTCACAAAATTACCCCACAGAGACACAAAAATTGACCAAATGAGAAACTACCTCCAAAACAACTATAAAAAAAGAAACATAAAATTACCTTAAAGACACAAAACAACTACAAGAAGAAAAAAAATGACCATAAAACTCACAAAATTACCCCAAAGAGATACAAAATGACTATAAAGTGACCAGAAAAGAGACAAAGTGACCTCAAAGACACACAAAGCAACCAAAAGAAGACAAAATTACCCCATAGAGACACAAAATGACTATAGAGACATGAGATTTGACCAAAAAGAAACAAAATGCCCTCAAAATTCACAAAATTACCCCTAAAAGACACAAAATGACTTTAAAGATACAAAAATTGACCAAAAAAGAAACAGAATTACCTCAAAGACACACAAAACAACTACAAATAGAAACAAAATGACCACAAAACTCACAAAATTACCCCAAAGAGACACAAAATGACTATAAATTTACCAGAAAAGAGACAAAGTGACCTCAAAGATGCACAAAGCAACTAAAGGAAGACAAATTGACCTTAAGGACACACAAAACGACTACAAAATAACAGACCAAAATAAACACAAAATTGCCTCAAAGGGGCACAAAATGACTCCAAAGAGACATAAAACCACGACAAAGAGCAACAAAACATCCAAAAACACATAACATTACCTAAGAGAGACACAAAACAACCGAAAAAAGACAAAATCACCACAAAGAAACACAAAATGACCTCAAGGAGACACCACTAACTACAAATTGACACAGTACAACAACAACAACAACAAAGGGGCAAAACCACCATGAAGTCTGTGTGCCTTGCCCCTGTGTTGGAGAGGTGGTGGGGCCTTTTGCCTATCTGCACCCAGGGGCCCATTGTCTCATAATGCGCCCATGTCAGTGATGCAAGAGGGGAAAACCTTTACCAGCCCTCCAGTCCGGTGAGAAACTGCTGAATAAGGCGCACTATAAAAACAGGCCTCTCAAAGCTGTGTTGATTCTACAGGCCGAACTCCGAGCCCCATGACTGTTGGTTTAATGAACATGGTGATAATCACCAAGAGGACCAGCTCACAGGTTTCCTTCTCAGCTCACTGAAATCCAGTCTGTGCTATGGTTTGGAGTTTCCTGGCTGCAGATCAAGAAAGAAACGTAAAGACGTCCTTCTATTCTCTGATAACCTGTGATGGGCTTTTGTCACACAAATTAAACTGTGGAAACAACCTACAGATTCGTCAATCATGACCTGCTGTAAAGGTATTTACCCCCAGTGTTATTTACCACTGATGAGAGCGAGGCATCTGCTGCTCTGTGCAGCTGATCATGTAAGCCAACAGGCAGGTCGAGGCAGGTCTGGATGCTCTGGAATCTCGGTCATTACCCACAAACACGTCTGCCGAGACATTGTTCTCATGTGATTACCACTGAACGCCTCCTCCTCACACTCAAAGTAGTAGAAAACAAATTGGATGTACTATCCTGGATCTACCATCATCTTTTATTAGCAAAAATAACTGATACATCCCAGTTCACAATAGTCAAGCAATAATGACCCAAAACTACACGAGTGTTATCAGCTGATATATTCAGATATATTCCAACAACATGATAAAAATTAATAAATGATAATAAATAAATGAAATCGTCATCAGATGGTCTGTAACTGATTTTTATGTAATTACATCCATCATCCTTGTTAAACATTTAGAAATACAATCATCTGTCATTTTTCAGTGTCAGATTTTTTTGTCTTTAAAAAATTTCTATGAGGCTGGGTCTTAAAGGGCCTGTCCCAGTACCCACACTTCAACTAGAAACACCCACTTGCACTCAGTTGTGCGTGTTCACGTTTAGGCTAGTGGTGTCCCAAAACAGAATTGAGGTAGTGGAAGTGGTTTCCAACACTTACAACCCGCCCTAGATTCCAAGGGAGCCCCGACCCACACTTTCAGCGTAGTGGAAGACGAAATTTCCCAGAACACCTTGCGAAGTCAGCAACTTCGGCAAGTTTTGGAAAACAATTTGTTACTGTACTATCGGAATGTAGGCTATACAAACAACAGATGGTTGGACTAGCATAAACTCATCAGCAACTCGGTTGCACATAGCGTCAAAATATTTAAACAAATCAACTTACCCGAACAAAATCGATCAGAACTAGAAGACGTCATAGGTGCCTCCTGTTTTCAGCATTTCTTCTCTGTTGATTCATCAGACGGAGAAGAATAAACATAACACACGCCACAACACAAGCGTTGGTGTCGCCATTTTCATTGCATCGCTACTACACATGATGTATGCCTGCACGTCGGCCACGCCAACTCGCATGAAGTGGTGTCTCATTTCTTAGGGAAAGATCTCCACCCTTATATGTCTCACTTCACTCATCAAGGGTTATCTCGCAAACGAGGTCACTCAATACCAAGTGTAAGGTTTAAGGGGTAGAAATGGGATTGGGCCTTATTAATTTTGTTTTTGTAAAGTTTTTTTTTGTAAAATATGCTGTTAGTTCTGCAAAAAAAGGAGCTTTTTAAGAGACACAAAAATCGACCACTTGCAAAGTGGTCAATAGCAAAATATCACTCAAAGAGACATTTACCGAGAAGAGACTAAAAATAACCAAAAAAGGAGGAAAACCAAACAAATAAAATTGCTTGATGCAAAATGTTTAAGTAAATAATTAGAGGGAAACGTGTCGAGGCTAACATAGCTAATATAGCCCACGCTAGCTTAACAGCTAAGTAGCTTTAAAAAAAAAAAAGTTTTAACAAATAAATACATCTTTCTAAAAATATTCATGATTTGTTTAAATTAAATATATTACTCTCTTGTTAAAATTGTACTACATTTGGTAAAGAGACTTGTTTGGGACTCAAAATTCAAAGTTTAGGACTTGGGATCTGACTTGGGACTTGAGTGCAAAGTCTTGAAACTTGCTAAACAATGACTTGGCCTCACCTCTGGTAGCTCTCTTATAATTTCAAAAATATTCATAAATTCAGTGCATAGTGTAATAATAATAATTCACTCTCCTTGTTTTCTGAAAGCATAGAAATCCCTAGAGTTTTCCATGACACACGTGGAGTCCTTAATTTAAAGCAACTGGTCTTTGCCTGTTTGGTCCAGAAGACATTTTCCAAACTGCTTGGATGTGTGACACAATTCAGGACATTATTGTCAAATAATGAAGCCTGGGCAAAATCCAGCTGCTTTAAATCAAGGACCCCACTTTTTTATTACATTATTTAACCATTTTCTTTGCTTAATTTGTAATGTAATAATTCTATTTATTTAATTTAATTTATTTATTATATTATTTTCAACTTATAACACTATGCACAAATCTGTTATGTTCAAACAAACATATATATGAGCTTTTATTTAAATTATTACATGATGAGACACTCTTTGAAGCACACGCATAAAACTGAATTTTAAATCCCCACATTTCAAACAACAGTCTACCACATAATGTCCAACCCTCAGACATGTGCAGGTCTCTCCCACTGCTCCCACTGTGGGGCAGCTGCTACAGGGAAAAAGGTCTATTTCGTTTTGTTGACACAAACCAAGGCCAAACCGGACCTGAGAACCTTATCACTGATAATATGCAAGTTATGACACAGCCTTGCTGCCATTTAACGCCTTATTTCAACCACTGACTGATCACCAGAGCAGCTGAGAGTCTGTCAATCATTTCCCAGAGGCGCATATCGATTATAAACATAAAGAAAAGCAGCACACAGCGCGCTAGCAGCTGAAATCTGAAATGTTACTCACCGCTCATGTCTTTAACCTCCTCGACTCTGTTTTAAAGATGAGAAAATCTCAGTGTAATCAGGTCCTCCACATGTCACCCAGCTCCAGAGCCGAGTCAGGAGTGAAACTGAGCGGTGAGATCAGAGTGTGGAGGCGCCACCTGACTGCAGGTCCTCCTTTACGCACACCTTCAGCTCCTCCACCCTCGGTCAATCACAACCAGCCAATCAGCAGCCGGGGAGAAAAAGTCTCTCTGATCAGCACATCACAGCGGATTTCCTCTATCAACACTTTTTACTGGTTAGGAAAGTTTGGACAGAAAGTGATCATGCCTGTGTGGTTGACTCCTTCAACACTAGATGGCGCGTTCAACCAATGATTGTCCACTTAAAGCTGCACTATAGCTGCCTATAAACACATTAAACTTCACCAATATTACTGTTAATATATATATATATAATATATATGTTATTCTCAGCACTGCTTTTTGAATTGTGAGTTTTGCCATGAGGACTTGTCACAGAAATATCTTTGAGACTTCAAGAGAGGGTGAGTCATTAACAGTGAGTCACTCAGTAGTCACAGGTGCTCCACTGCAGTGAGGAGCAAAGAATAGCTCCTCACCCTGTAACAGCAGAGACAGCTTTGTGTTGGAGGACTTGGTGCCCTGGAGGAGAGCAGGTTAGTCACCTGCGCTGCCAAGGGAAACCTGGATGATCTGATAAACCAAAACACAATGACACAGAGTTTCATCCTCCTTAAAGGTCCAAAGATATGCAAATCATTTTCTTAATCCTTTGGATTAATTTGGTGACAGGCACTACTTTAAGAGAATTAAATTACTTTACTCATGCTATTCCAGTTGGATTAATCTAACTTGCTGAACGCCATTTAAAGGTCCAGTGTGTAGGATTTAGGGGGGTATAGTGGCAGAAATGAGAATATAATATTCAAAAATAACTATGTTTGAGTTTATAATCACCTGAATATAGACCCTTTTACGGTTAGTGTGATGTATTTTGGTGGGCAGGGCTTAGCTGGAGGCAAAATAATTCTCAGACATTAGCCAGTGCTAGCTGGCAAGTACTTTTGGCTTGTTTTAGACAATGGAGGAAGATGATATGTGTGGTGTGTTCAGAAATACTCATTCTTAGTGCCGGAGTGCACTCTGGCACAAACTGGACTGTGCGTATATTCGGAGCGCTGGTGGAATGTACCGTTCGGTTATCCAGAACCAACACATTCTCACTCCGACCTCGTCACATATTGACGTTTGGTCATGGACTTTCCACGTCCACATACAACATGCAAGGTACTCTGGGTGTGTTGGTTGTTGACTCTCTGGGACTCTCTGTCAAGTTTTGTTTGTTACATGAATTGTCTTCTTTCAAAATCTTGTCCATTTTCACAGGAAATTTAATGTTTACGGTCTCTTGAGAAAAAAAAAGCACTACGTAGGTACAACACCACAAATTCACGTTCTCCTTCAACAACAAACATGTAGTTGGGTTTAGGCAACAAAAACACGTGGTTAAGTTTAGGAAAAAAGACCAGGGTTTGGAATTAGAATCTTACGGGACATGAACACCACTCTCTCGGGTGAAAGTCGTTGTTTGTTGGACCCATCCACCACCACTCCCACTTGCCCCAGTCAGACTTTCGCCACCTTAACTTTCGTTCTTATCCCCCTGACGCTGCTGGGTGCTGTTAAACTATAACAACAACTGGCCGTGTATCATGCTGATTTTAAAGGACACCTTTTTTGTTGGTTTCTGACACTGCAAGTCACTGCCCAAGCACCGGATTTTGACGACTTCGGAGTGAGACCGGGGTCCTTGACCACCATACTAAAAAAAAAAAACGTGAGCATTTTTGATGATCTCCTCTGTCCAGTCCTTTCGTCTTATCACATTTAACCATGGTTAACTAAAAATAATAATAGAATATTATTTTTTACTAAACTGTCATATGGTCAAGAACATCTTCATTGCAAAAATACTCAAATATCGTATTATTTTAGGGCCATATTGTCTACCCCTACATGGCAGACTATGTGGAAGAGGACCCGCTCCGTATGTAGATATAAATTGCTCACTCTGAAGTGAAAACACAATGGTTCTTAGTTTTAGGTGATTAATACACTAATGAAAACATAGTGATCAATATTATATTCCTATATTCAAATTTCTGCCAATATAAGTCTACTAACTGGACCTTAAACCAAAGACCAAAAACCTTAAAAAAAAGAAAATATCTCCATCTCTATATCTCTGTATACAGCCTATGTAGGGGAGACCGGGGTAAGATGAGCCACTTTTCATATTCAGGATCACTACATCAAGGCTGTTATAGTTTTGTTGCTAACTAATATATGTGCATATATTTCAGGATGTTGTACATCCCTACGAACAAACAGAATGGGTGTAAACATAACTGTTTTGATAATATAGCATGTCCAAAAAAAGTGGTCTCGTGGCACAACTTACCCGGTGTCTGGGGTAAGTTGAGCATAGGAGTGGGGTAAGTTGAGCCATCTCCCTCCTTCCCTCCCCCCGCCCTCCCTCCTACCCCCCTTCCCCCCACCTCACCTTCTCTCCTCCGCCTCCCTCCCTCCCTCCCTGAGTTAAGATATTCCAGTTATACATGTCTGTACTGAATTAAATAAGACGCTTCTTCAAATCCATGTGTATTTTTATTTATAATACACACTTCAACAGGTACAAATCTTTTTTTAAATTATTATTGCATATAACAACTTTAAAACATTTTAACATAGGCCTGAGAATGCCTTAAAGTGCGCTTAGCAAGAGAACCTTAACAGCTGTGTTTTTGGAAAGAAAACACTGAACTAAATCCGTAAATGTGAATCCTAGTTTGGTGTCCTTGCTGACAGGAGGGCCTCCTTCATCCTCTCTAAACTCCTCCCTCCATCTTACTCTCGTTCCATCCACCACCCTCCCTCCTTCCATCCATATCCCACCAGCCCCTTTACTCTGTCCAGGTTGCAGGGGAATACACACTGCTGGGACTCTGAGGTTTGGGGAGTTTTGCAATTACATCGCTTCTTGGGAAGAATCCCTCATCCTTCTCCTTGAAAGTAAAGCTTGGTTTAGCCAGCTGTGCCTCTTCTCAGAAACTTACGGCTCAACTTACCCCTGTTCAAATTGCTCAACTTACCCCATAGATACCATATTGACTTTATTAGCCCCCACAGCTAAAATGGTGCACTTTCATGATAGCTGTACTACCTCATTTTGTAGTTAATAGATACCACAATTGATGTATAAAACAAATTTAAAATGATCTATTTTGGTCTAAACACAATCCCCATGAAACTTATGATAGACTAAATTCACTTTCATGAGTGAAAAATGCTTTTTTGGACATAAATCTCTAACCACTAAACCCATGTGGTTCTTACCTTCACAGACTCCATAAAATGATGCCTTCCTCCTAAATATTTGGTCACATGCTCAATTTTATTTACAGTTTCCTAGCAACAAGGGGTGGCTCAACTTACCCTTTGGCTCAACTTACCCCAGTCTCCCCTACCCTTGTTATTTTAATGTAAATGTATTTCAATATTCTAATTTTATATTCTTCAAATAAATTTGTGTCATACATATTTGATTTATACGCTGCTATTATTTACCTGATGTTTTTTTATATTGTCAATATGATGATAGAAGAAAAAAAAGAGTTTCATCCTCACTGTTGTTTTAATGCTTGCAGACCTGTGGTTGTGCCACACAGAATGACTGTCACTAATGCAGTGTTAAGTACGTGGAACAGCTGAGTCACAATGTTTGATCTAGGTTACTACCACATACCTCGGCAGTATTTAATCATAGGTTTAGCTTGGAAATTAAACCAGGAAGTGACGTAAAGGTTTTGACAAGTAGGGGCAAGTGTATCTTGCCAAAGAAACATTATGCAGATTAGTGTGATGAATGTAGGTCATAGGTCAGAGTCATTTAACAGCAGGTGACAGACTTAAAATGAGGATTAAATGAGAAGGAAAAAGTGCCTTTGTGTTTGTGTCACAATTTGAGTTATGTACAGTTAAGAGGTAGGGGAGATCGAGTTTGGCTCCAATACTTTTTGTCCTAGCACCTACAACTCTGAATGAACAACGCTGAATTTTTGTGTATGTTTTTATTCACTCCTTGCATGCATTCGCCGCCTTAACTTTTGTTCTTTCCCACTGCATTTCCCCCTTATGCCACTGGACACCGTTAAACTATAACGGAAACCGGCCATGTATCACGCCGATGTTAAAGGACGACTTTTTTCATTGGTTTCTGACGCCGCAAGTCACTGCCCAAGCGCCAGATTCAGGGTTGGCATTCTCTTTATACATCAGCGGTGAGGAGAGGAGTCGAGCTGCCATAGGATCAGAGAAAAAGAGCTGCTACGGGAGCTGATGTATAAGCAGAGGGCGAGTGGGGGGAAAATATGTTTATTTTGGGGGCAGTAAGGCTAGAAAGAGGACAGTGGCGTAAAGTGCCATGGGGCAGCAAATCCAGGAGCGCCAACTTGTGTCTTGCTGCCAGTGTGGGGTTGTACATTGAAAATAATATTTTCGTATTTTGTAATGTGTTGGGGTCCCGGCGGGATGGCTCTTGGGCAGCATGGGTGTGATGTGTCGACGATGTGTTGTACAAGCAACCCACTGCGGGAAATTTAAAAATAGCTTGTAGCATCTAGCGGCTAACTCAAAGAAGAAGAACAGCAGCCGAAAATCTTCGCTAACTAGGAAAACAATGAGGTTAAGGAGCTCCTTATCCTCCGAACAGAGGACGAAATCAGCCGCCCTATAACAGAGACGGTAAATGATTGATGATGCTGTTGTTAGTCTATAAAGTGCTGACTCGTATGTTATATGTTGCCCTGGAGGCTGACGCTGTTGTTGATGCCTGTCATGCCTCTTTTGCTTTCAAAATGGTCATCACACACTGGAGCGGCTTGATGCCACCATCATTTGGTACTGTGTAAAAATGCAAAGGCGATATCAAGAAGGGACCTCATAGTGGCCTTATAGCGTGATCTATTGTGTCTTGCTTCTATGTAGGAGAAGTGGTGGAGTCTTTTGTGTCTGTACCCTGCCCACTGTCTCGTAATCTGCCCAGAAAGTGATGCTGTGACAACCATC